GGGGGGGGGGGGGGCACAGTGCAGTCCCCTCAGGACACCCCAGGAGGCCATCCTAAGTGCTGGAGGCAAAGGGTGTGGACTGGCCTTGTTGGGAGGGTAGGAGTCAGTGAAGGTTCCTCAGAGCCACTAAAGAAGAACAGTTTGGAGGGTCCCCAAGCTCTCTCTGGAGTGGCTTTGAGTCTACAGGATGGGGACCTCAAAACCTTTCTCAGAGTGAAATTACAACCCACCAACCCAATGACAAATTACTCAGAACCCCAGGTGCCTTCACTATCCCGTGTTACACGTGGACCCACACAGAAGTAGTCTCCCCTGTCCACCCTGGACCCACCTTGATGTGCGGCCGGATGTCCACGTCGCACGGCCGCAGGTTGCACAGGCGGCTTTCCTGCTCAGGCCAGCACTGGGCATTGGTGTTGGAGACCCGAGTGGAGATGCCTAGGCCACAGCTGGTGGAGCAGGGGCTCCAGGGGCTGGTGTAGGGCAGGCAGTTCCCGTGCCAGGGCTCCACGTCACTTACAGCTGCTGTACAAAGACACCAGAGGCCCCATGAGTCTCCAGCTACAACCCGCCCCTGACCCTGACCATCACCATAGGAAGGAGGCTGGAGTTCCCTAAACTCAGAGAGAGAGAGAGAGAGAGAGAGAGAGAGAGAGATTGAGGAGCTGTCTGTCCTTTCCCACTGGAGGACAAAATGGCTTCCAACCTAGGGACAAAGTTACACATTCTAAAGTCCTTATATTTTTCTGATCACGAGAGGCAGCACAGCGCATGGGAGGAAAATCATCTTTAGAGACAGATGGACCTGAGTTCAAATTACCCTCTCCTCCATAGCTGTGTGATCTTGGATACCTCTCTCTGGGCTTCAGTTGCCTGGTTAGAGCCATGGTATCTGCCTAGGAGTGGTGGGACCACAGGGTCTGGATTTGGATGCTTTCTGTACCAAGACAGGCTGAGAATGAGAGGTGAGAGAGATGCAGTCCCTGGTCCTGCAGCAGTAAAGTGGATTTGGGGGAGTTCAAGGTGAGGACCCCCATTCTGGCACCTAGCACTGCACTGTGGTGATGCTCAGGGCACGATGGATCAGGAACTCCAGGCTTCAGTAACAACTCTCTGGGTTCAACGCTCAGTGCTGCTGCTTCTGAGCTGTGTAAGTCTGGAGCTCATGCTCACCTCTGTGACTCTGATTTGGGCCTTTTCTCTTCAAAGGGCCTGGCCACACATGGCCCTCCAGGGCTGGGGTCCACAAAGAGCATCCCTGGCCCTTCCGGAGCCCCGAGTCTATGTAAGCTGGAGGGTTACTCTTGGGACGCTCTGGGGAACCCTGCATGCCCACCATCCGGAGCAGGTGGCCGTTCAGTTGCTGTCTTAAAAGTGGCTGGGACTGAGCTGGAGAGATCCTGAGGCGGATAAGGCCTGGCCAGACAGAACTGGCTGCAGCAGGAGGGCAGAGACTCGCAGGAGAAAACCCCATCCGGGCACAAGCACAGGACATGGGAGAGAAAGAGAAAGCGGCAGGTGGAGAGCGAAGGGAGGGATGGGCAAGGAAGAGAGAAGAGAGGAGGAAAGAGAGAGAAGCGGAGGGAGGGAGCAAGACCGGGAGTGAGAAGGGGAAAGAGTGGGAGCAGGGGGAAGGAAAGAGAAGTGGGAGAGGAGGGACCTAAGCAGGCTCAGGGGACACAGAGAAGGGACGTCTTTCTCATCCTGAGCCCAGCAACACACAGGAGAGCTTGGCACACCCTGAACAGATGCAGGGATGATCAGTGAGAGAGGCTGGGGCTGCCCAGATAGGAGAAGGCAGGAGCACTCAGGACAGGGGAGGCAGAGCAGGGTGGAGAAAGGCTGCAGCATCTAGGAGGCTGAGGCCCAGCCGCAGAGAGGGATTTGTCTGGAGGATGAAAGGCTTTGGTTTCTGGGTCATCTCCAAAGCCTTGGGAGCTGCAGGGGCTCTGCTTGTGCTGGGTCACAATGGGGTCACTGGGCCACACACAGTGCACAGACAGCCTCGGCCTCCCCCTCCACCACCCGGTGAGCCTTCTGTGGCCCTGCTGTGGGGGCTGTGATGGGACAGCTGCCCTGCACCCCCCTCCACCCGGGCCTGCTAGGGACCAGCTTTCCCTGCCACCTCCTCCTTTCCACAGGACACTACTTCTCCGCCAGGGCATCTGGAAGTGTTTGGGACTGTCACTCCTTGGGGACCGTCTCATTTTGGGGTGGGGTGCTGCTGGCGCTCAGGGAGTGGAGACCAAGGTGCTGCTGACATCCTGCAGAGCACATGGCGGCAGCTGCCACATAGAGTCTCAGATCCTGAGTACTACCAGTCCCAAGGTTAGAAACTCGGCTCTGCATAGTCCCTGAGTGATCTCACATACCTAATTTTAAAATTAGCAATAAATATTGAACTCCCAAACTTTATGCTATTTTTTTTTGCTACTTCTTGACCCTTCTTTCCTCTAGCAATGTGCCTGTTCTCTGTCTTCCAAGGCATCAGCTGCTCCTTATTTTTCCTGACCTTCCTCTCTGTCTCCCCCTCATCTCCTCTTCACCTGGGCACCCGTGGAAGACCAGGCCGACCCTCACCTCTACCCCAGGACCTTTCAATCTCACTATATTGTTCCTATGCCACCATCAGCAGCTCCAAGCAGGGGACCCCAGAGTTCTCACCCTGCTCCTCACTCCTCCACTGTTGCACCTTTTGGATACTCCTCTGGGTGCGCCTGGCCACAAGCTCGACCTTTGTCCCACCATGTCAATCTCTTTAGCCTCAGCAGGCTCCTCTTGCTTTTTCTCCTAGGGAACTGTGTGCTCTGGGAGGAATCCCCACTTCTGGTTCTATTTTATCTTATGCACAGGTGGGATGCCAACACCTGTAGTCATACTCAAGCAATGTCTCTTGCATCTTTTCCTTCCTCACCATCTCTACTCCCACTGACCTAGTTCAGATCCTTCTTAGCCCATCCATCAATCAATCCATTCATACATCTTCTATCCCTCATCCATCCATCCATCCACTCATCCACCATCCATTTAACCATCCATTCACTCATCTTTCAGTCCATCTATCCACCCATCCATCTGCTCAACCATCTACCCATTTGTCCATCCATCCACCTATTTCTCTATCCATTCACCTATCCAAATGACCAACATTAATTAAGTGCCTGAAAAATGTCCTGTACTGGGCTAGGTACCAGAAGGTAGTGAAGAAACAAACAAATCTTTCTTTGTCTTTCTTTTTCAGGGCTTCCTAGGATTACCTGGCTGAAGCTTCACCTTCTCACCTATCCTCCACAGTATGGGGAACCTGGATGAAGCCATTTTCTCCCTCCCTGCCTTGCCTCTCTAAGTACCCATATGCCCACCTTCCTCCATTCTACCCCTGGACTCTGTAATAGATAATAATAGAGTGTGCTTGTGGCCTTTGTTCTTTACAATGTACTTCTTCCTTTTATGCTGGGAGGATCTTATAAGATAGACACAAGATGGGAACTTTCCATTCTACAGATGAGAGATGGGGAACCAGGGTGCTGTGACTTTCCCAAACCTGCTCATCCAGTGAGCTGTGGATGGGGTGCTGGGCCTCAGCATCCAAGTCATGCACAGAGACCAGAGTCTCCTGAATTCTGTAATGCCCTAGATTCTGTGCCTGTACCTACCCGGGGCGGCGGTGTCACCCAGCATGGTCTGTCGAGGTCTCCGGGCATCATCCTCACACACCCACTGCTCACAGCACTGGCCTGGCACTTTTACCCGTCGGGGCTGGCTGCACCAGAGGCGCGGAGGGCGTGCACGGAGGCACAGTGGTGTGCAGCCCACCACACCGCCAATGCAAGTGCACTTGTACCTGCAGCTGGGCTGGAAAGACTCTCCGTTGCTGTAGCGCACCCCGTCCAAGACGCAGCCCACGCCGACCACCTCTGCAAACAGAGGCAGCATCCATCATTTGGTTAGGCAGCCCAAGAAGGACAGCACCCAGGGCAGGGACCCAGGAAGCTTGCTTCCTGAAGTGTCCTTGGCACAAAGCCTGGTCCTGACATGTGCCTGCTAAGAGGGTTCAAGTTCCAAGGAGGACAGACAAGTAAACAAGCCAGAGCACCAAAGCCCACATGGCCTTCCCTCAGGGCTAGGTGAGCTAGGGTACCAATGCTGAGGATGCAACAGCTCCATCCTTGGTGGGAGTGGCACAGAGAAGACATCCAAAGAGATCTCACAGAGTGTCGATGGTGACCGTCACTGATGACACCTCTCCAGGAAAAGTGGAGCAGGGAGGTATAGCTGGGAATGGGGGCAGAAACGGGAGGCCTCATTGACATGAGGATGCTCCCTTCCCCAAAGACCAGGAAAGAGGAAGTCAGCCAGGCAGGTGCAAAGACGGGGTGCCAATCACAGGTGTGAAGGCTGCAGGCGGAGGTGGGAGTCAGGGGAGGAAAAGGAGAAGGAGGTGATGGCAACATGGTTTTCTGTTGGCTCAGGGGAGCAAAGCTGCTAAAGCCTAGAAACTTACTGGGCACAAAGCAGGTGCTCAATAAGTAATAGTCTGAAGGAATGACAGAATTGTGCTTCTTGGTGCTGTAGAGGACAGACTAAAGAGGGGCCAAGGGAAACATCAGGAGGCCACCATGGTATCCCAGCTGAGGCCAGGGAGGACCCATAGCCATGGATAGAGGGCTTGGCTTCTGGGTGCATTCTGGAAGAAAGCTGCTAGGACTTGGGATAGAGGGTGGAAGGGTACAGAACAACTCCTGGGTGTGCAGAAGGAGAGCAATGCTGAGGACCAGGGATTGGGTCAGACAGATGCCAGGGTCCATCATTAGCTGTGAGACACTGGGGTGACATCCACAGAGATGCCATGTGGGGTGATCATGTAAGGATGGAGTCTCTGGGAAGGTTTGGGGGTGCTGCTGGGCCACGAGTAACTCTTTATGCCATGTGGTACCATAAGCAGAGCACCTGGAGGCACAGACAGACCTGGGGCAGCAAGTTTCCCACCGGAGGAGGGGCAGTTTGGGATCTGAAGTCTGCCTGTAGTTCAGTCCTCTTCTCTGGATTTTTCCAGAGAGGTAATTCCTAACTTTCACCCTAAAATCTGTGAAGAGTGAAGGTTGTCCCCACTGCCTCTCCGGGGCTCCTCTGTGTCATTCTTATCCTTTAACTCATGTCACTGTAGATGGAAATCCACAGTCACCTTCATATGTGAAACCAAGGCCCAGCAAGGTGCAGTCACTTCCGATGCCACCCCAGAGAGCGTGCATGCACCGTGCTGCGGCTGTTGCTGATCATCCTGGTGCAGGGCTACCCCAGAAGGAGGTACAAAAAGACAGTTTCCAGGGCCTATTGACCAGCCTGGTCTCATGACTGTCACCACCCAGTCCACAAGCTCTCCAAGGTCCCCCAGGACCGCATCAGGAGAGTTTCATTGTCTTCGTCTGGAAGACAGGGAAGGTCTGAGAGACTAAGTGATTCATTTGCTCAAGGTTGTGAAGCCAGTGAATGACAGAGCTAGAGCTCCTGCCCAGGGCAACTGGCGCCACAGCTCCCGACCTTTCACGGGGCAACAGGTGAGAAGGAGAAAAGGGGGTAGAGCAAAAGGAAAGAAAGAGCAAGCTGGGGAGGAGGAAGCATGGATGCCTGGGCAGATGTGTGTGGCACAGGGGAGCCCTGGTCATTACAGTCGACATTTTGTCGCACTGTCCGCGACGAGGAAACTGAGGCTTACGCGGTTGAGTGGCTTGCCTTCGGTCATGCTACTGGTTAGCGGTGATGCAGGGACTCCAGCTCAGGTTGCCTGGAGGACCATGCCTGGGTTTTGTGGTCCCTGATGCCAGGCTGGGGGTCTAGAAATGGATTCACTCCTCCTCTGAGGCTGACCATTCAGAGGGTGGAGATGACTTCAACAAAGGAATGTTAAAAACAAAGAAAACTCTAACCAGGAGCACTGAGCGCATTGTTTTGCTTTGTTATTTAGTTGCACTCCCGTTTATTGCGGTGTCCCACGAAGGTGGGCTAAACAGCCTCCTGGAGGGATGTGCACACTGTCACGTAGCTAGAAAGTGGCAGAGCCAGGATTTAAAACCCCAGTCTGTGGGCCTGTAAATGTCACCATCCTTCTAGCAAACCTTTCTGCCCTCGGTCGTGCCCCGGCTGCAGCAGATGTAATGGTTGCGCTGCAGAAATAGCCGAGCAGCCGGTCAGAGAGTTTGCTCCCTGCCATCTTTGGTTTGGCCCACAGAGTGTTTAAAAATAAACTGTTTCAAATTCATTGCCAACATTTACAAATCATGCACAAGTCTGGATCTCTGGGTCCTCTTGGAGACTGAGTGGACCGGACTGGAGCACGCTCACTGTTTGGATAGCCAGAATTTGAATCTGCCAGCTTGCCACCTCCCCTGCAACCTCTCTGAGTGAGATGTGCCCAAGTTGCAATCACTCATTTTTACTGCCTGCCTTGTCCTGGCCTAATTACATACAGATTTTCAAAGACAGATGTAGCCTGTCCTGGGGACTGTCCATTAGCTGAACACTCATTTGCAGGAAGGCTGTCTGTTAGGGGGATGATTATTTCTCTTTACCCTGTGGCTCAGAGATACCTCCTTCTCTGTTCTTTCAGATCATGACCCTCTCCTTTCTCGAACTAGAGTCTCACAGACTCTGACGCTATGTCAGCATTTCTAGGAAAAGTTTTAATAGAACAATATAGAATGGGGTGTGTGTGTGTGTGTGTGTGTGTGTGTGTGTGTTTGTAAAAGTGGGTAAAATGTACTTAGACAAAAGGACTTAGTGTTCAGATAAGTTTGAAATGAGGAGGTCTCAGGATAGGTCCTTCTGGAGTACAACAATGGTTGGACATGAAAACTTTGAGCCTCTGAGAAGCTCAGTAGCACCTGCTTAACTTCTGTGATCAGGAAGCCCTTGGTACATATAAAACTTACTAATATTTTCTTGAGACCACAGTAGTTGTTTTTCTGAATACATGGACATAAACAGAGACTTGTGGTGGGCAAAAAGCTAAAGAGCTGTAGTGGGGGAAGGCAGAACTTGAGCTGCAAAGAGACATGGAGGAGAGGGTGAGAAGATGGTTTTCCAGGCCTCTCAAGCAAGACAGTCAGCCTCTGGATCTATGAATCTATAAAGGTGCAATATCCAGTATGTGATGAGAACTTGCACAGATTTAGAGATTAGCATAGTCACAGTGAATGGAATTGCCATGTCAATGAGCTTGAAGAACAGCTGTCCAGTGGGAAAGGAGCTATGAGATGGTCTCCTATAAATGGGGTGGTTCTAGCACCAGGAGGGAGGTCGGGCATGGCTGTTCTACTTGAGCCATAGGAAAGGATTGCAATGGACACTGCACATCAGCAGTTGGTTTAGAGCTGCAGCATGCATGAGGTCACCTTGGAAGCTCTCTTCAGGTACAGGTTCCCATTCCTGTTTCCTGAGGACCTAACACAGAAAGGCTGGGCTTGGACTCAGGGGTGACACTTTAAATCAACACATCAGATGGTTCTGTGCAGGTAATGCTGCAAGTTCTCTTGGAATACATTATTTTTGCCATAATAGTCTAAGTAATAATTAGCCTAAGTAAAAGGAGAAAGCTGGAAGGATGGGTGAGGTAGGGTGAATACTTGCAAAGCCAAAGATACATGACTTGGTATGAACATTGAAAGATGAGCAAATGATAAAAGAGAAGAGAGTGCCATAAATTAACCTTGATACTCAGATGGGATTGTCTGACTTGGAATTATGTTCAGAACCCTTGTCAGCAACCTATTTGGGACATATGTGTTAGCCAAAGATAAGACACTATACTATGTGAATGCATAATGGAGTATATGTGTGAAGTCACAATTGGGATTCTCAGTGTGACTCTAGGGAAAAGGAATTCTCGGCTTTGTGAGACTTTGTGGAACTTTGCAGAAGTTAGGCTGCTGTATTACAATGTCTTATTCTCTCTCTTCATCATGCTATGTTGTGTAACTTTGGCGATGCTTAGATGATTTGAACTAAGGAAGTATATGTCCAGGTAGAAGCAGGTCAGAGGACTCCAAAAGGAGGTCTCTGGTAACAAAAAAGCACAGCAGGCTCAGGACAGAGCACTTGAAGAATGACTATCAGCCTTCCCTCTAACACAAAGACAGTGTGAAGAGCAAGAGTGAAGAAAAAGAAAGCCGATTATAAACTCCAAGAAAAACAAAAGGCATCATAAAGAAAAGAAATTGAAACAAATGCACTATTTTATACTGCAGTGAACAATATTTACATAGTCACAATATTATAAATACTAACAATTGCAAAACAAAAAATTATCGTGGGGACATTTGGAAGATAAAGGAGTTGTTGGGTGGCATTGAGGAGCTAAGTCACCAGCTATCATATAGGAATAGTAATAGGTTGTCCAAAGTTGATATATCAAGCCAATTAATAGATAGCCAAAGACAAGTACCACATAGTGCTAACTGTGTAAACAAAGGGCTAAAAAGTTAAAAAAATGACTTTAGTAACCCAAACAACATGATTGGTAGGAAGGTGTAGTTGCAGGCTGTGGGTTTTCATGATTTCAAAGCTATGAGATTTAAAATATTTAAATGTACAATATTACTAAAACATTTGGAGTTCTGTAGGGACCTTGTGTCACCTGGGAGACTGTGGGCATCCATCAAAGGAACCTACCCACTAAAATAGTGAAACCAGACTTAGCTCTTTCCTGGTGGAGCCTCTTTCCCCAGGAAATTGTGTCTCCAGAGCCAGGAAGTGAGAAAGAAATGAGGCTCTGGAGATCAGAGAAGGAGTGCAGGCCTTGCAGTCTCCCTAGAAAGCACCCTTCCCACTTTCTCTCACCATGGCCTGGGTCAGGATGTGCCCCCGGCTCATCGATCTGAGGCCTGGCCAGGGCAGGGCTGCAGTGCCAAGGGAGGGGCCTTGGGCAGGGGAGCTTGTCAAAGGTAGGGGTGCTCACTTACGTGCACACACTCCTATTGCGTACCTCGGGCGGTCCCTGCTATAGTCACAGTAGAGGCCCCGGTGGGGGTCACAGATGGCGGCCTCAGTGCAGTTGTCCCCCAGCTGCTGGGCACATATCTTACAGCATTCACAGCCATCTGTGACCAGGCTGACCCCCAGCGGGCAGCGAGGCAGTGATGGTGGGCACTCACACGGCCACTTGCAAAATTCAAGGTGTGAGGCTGTGTCCTCCGGTGGTGTTGGAGTGACACCCATGGTCTCAAGTGCTGGAGGGAGAGCCTGGGGAAAAGAAGAGGCAGAGATGAGGGGTTCAGAGCCCAGAATTTCCTAAAGTCACCTTTCCTATTAGTGCTCAAAAGGATTTCATAATTTTTGAATTTCACGCATTCAATAGCCAAACATCTCTTTTCAATAAAACCAATAGAATGGAGGTGCACCAAGTTTAGAGAAGTTAAGCAAATTCCCTCAAGTCCTTCTGCTGGCTCAGTGCTGAAGTCCAAGTTCAACCGCGGTCATGCTTGCCTCCCTCCTTCTTTGATCATCCCCTAGGGCAGGTGAGGTGGCCATGGGGTGCACAAGAGGTCCTGGGAGCCTCCTGAGTCTATTCCTCCTGCCCTGTGGCTCCTGCTCTATCAACAGATCCATTCTCTTTCCTCCTCCACTGAGTCTCCTAGACCTGGCCCAGGAAACTCGGGCAGTCAGCTGACCTGCTATGGTTTTGTTCTCCCTCTGAGCACCAGGAAAGGGCTGGGAAAGGGAGCTGGGTTCTGTCACTGGCCCTGCAGAGGAGCCTTCCCTCTGCACACAGAGCCCTGGGTCCCCCACTCTTGTTTTCCCCATTCCCACCACTCACCAACGTCCCCATTCCCATCTGTCAGCCAACAGGTTCCATTCTGTGCTGGCAAATGTGACAGCTGGAACTTGGAAGGGAAACTGAGGCCCAAATAGTTTCCTGGGCCCAAAGAACCAGCAGAGGAAGAGGCCCAGGAGCTGGATGCAGGAATCTGAAGCTACCTGAGTTTCCTTCCTGCCCCTCTGGTTGCCTCCCTGAATCCCACCTAGGCCTCTCACTATGCCGGTGGAGACAGCGCTCAGGGGGCGAAGAGAACCTCCCAAGGTCTCAGACAGCAAAAGCACAGCTGGATTTCACAGAGCTGTTATGATCGGATCTAGAATGGCCCTCAAAAGTCTCATGTGTTCAAAGGTGGGGCTTGTGAGAGGCCACTGGATCTTGGGGGATACTACCCTTACCAGTAGATTGATCCACTGCTAAGTTTATAGCTGACCCTGCTGGTAGGAGTTGGAGCCTAGGTGGAGATGCCCAGGCTGTGGCCTGGAAGGGTATATTCATGTCCCCGACACACTCCCTTCACTCTGCTCCTGGTGGCCATAGGATGAGTAGCTGTCCTCCCCCAGGTACTTCCACTTTGTGGTTTCTGTCTTGGAACCAACCCACCATGGACTGAACCCCCACAAAATGTGAGCCACATTAAACCTCTCCCCCTTGAAAGTGGGATTTTGTCCCAGAGACAAGAGGGAGACTCACTGACCAGCTAACGGGCCCTGGAGCCTCTGCCCAGGACTTCTCAGTGTGATGCCTAGATTTGGGGGTAAGCAGAGCGGCAGCCAGGGCTTCTGCGGGAGGCTAGTGCAGAACCAGAGGGGACCAGCTGTGCATGATTTACACATCTGCATTTCACTCTTGCACCACAGGCTGTGAGGCTGAGCTGCTCAGACAGATGTGTCCTCTCATGCAGAAGCACATAGACCCAAGGTGCTGACAGGCACATCAGCCGGTGTCCAGGCCCAGACACAAACGAATCTGTCACTCTCCTTTTGACACCCTTTACACATGGCCCTTCTAAGGTCTCCCACTCACACCACAAATGCTATCCGAGCTCACTCACAGACTCTCTTCAGTTGTATACATTTGAAGAAAAACTTAAAAATTCTCTGTATTCAGGGAACTTATGGAAAATCCAGACTTATGGGAAGGCCCCTGACTACAAGCAGCAGCAAACCCTGGAGAGACAGCAAAGCCAGAGGGCCACCAGCTGAAAAGCCAGGCATGGACATGGCTTGTTCCTTCTAGTGGGGGGCACTGTGTGCTGGACATCAGAAGGCCTGTGCGCTCTCTGAACACCACGCAGGAGTCACCGTGTCTACTGGAGCAGGGTGTACCTTGGTGCACTTGGCCAGGAGGCCCAGCAGTGAGCCACGGTGTGATTTGACCCCCAGTGCTTGGTCCTGCATGGGTACTTGCCGTGAACATTGATGCAAAGACTGAAGGACCCCTGAAAGCTAAACTGACAAATGTTGATTTGGCCTTGGTCACCTTCCAGCTTGATTTCACGTCCACTCCCATCCTACCTCGAGGACTCAGCAGTGCAGTCTCCTGAGTCTGAGATGCCCTCCCTGCCCTTCTCCAGCAGGGCCCTCCTCTGTTAGCACCATGCTGACTGCTAGCCAGTCTCAGCCTGGCTTTCCCTTCATGTTCTCTGCAAGCATCTGCCTGTGTGTGTGTGTGTGTGTGTGTGTGTGTGTGCCATGAGGATCAGACCCCCCTGCTCTCAGGTCCCACCCAGTGCCTGGCACAGTGCCTGTCCTTGCTGGGGACACAGGTGGAGCAGCACCCAGCTTGGCTGAGGAGGTAAAGACTGCAGAGTCTCCAGGGAAAAGGACCTTGGGGTAGGGGACAGAGATCTCTGCTGCTGTTGGGCTCCCTGTCTCTCAGGACACATTCAGGCTATGACTCCAGAACCAGGGGAGCCTCACAGGCAGCCACCAGGCACCTCTGATGAATCCTCGGGCTGTTAGGAAATGAAGAAATGCTCTTCCCCAGGAGACTTTGTGCCTGCACCAGATGCATTGAGTAGAGATGCTACCTGCCCGCCAGGAGTGGACTTACAGGGGCAGGGCCTGACTTCTGTCTGTGCTTGAAACATAGGAGAAAGAGGTCACTATCACTTGATATTCAGAAGGCCACATCCTGGCCCTCTCATCCAGCACCAAGGCTGGCAGTGCTGATGCAGCAATGTGCCATAAACTTGTGGGTACCCAGTGCCCTGCCATGGTCACGGCCCCACCTCCTGTCTCCACAGCAAGGTGAAAGTCCCCAACAGGAGGCATTCCTTCCAAACACTAGCCTGGAAGGGATGCAGCTGGCCAAGGGGAGCCACAGGAAGATCTCCCTGGGAGAAGGGAAAGGCTTGCAGGGACTGCCAGATCTCAGGGCAGTGGAGGGGTGGGTTCTGGGCATTGGCTGAGGCCAGCCCGTGCTGTAGGCGCCATCTAGTGGTTTAAGGGCTCCCCAACATTTGGGGAGAAGCCTCTGGACCAAGGCCATGAAGTGGAGAACCTCTGGACCCCAGCACTGAGGGCTGCTGGGGTTGGAATGTGCCCCCTGAGTCTGATTGTGTTGCCCATCACTGATAGCTGGGGCATGTGGCCACAAGTGCCCAGTCAGCCAGACTCCCGACACCAAGCTGGTCCCCCATTCTCTCTGTGCACACAGGACAGGCGGTTGGCATGTGGTTTTTGCCCTTGAGGGCCAACAGCTTCACCAGGCACACTGGCTCTTTCCGTCACTCAGTCTGTGGACCCTTGTTGGACAGCTACTATGTGCCAGGCTCTGGGCCAGGCTGGATGGAAACATAGGTGCTCAGATGCAGACCTCTGGTCACTGTTCACACCCAGTGATGCCCACAGACACAGCCATCATGGTTGCCACCCAGAGAGATCAATGCTGAAATGAGATCATTTATTCACTTATTCATTCATTCTTTCTTTTACTCTCCATTCTATCTGTTCATTCAACACCTCTCTGGTCAGCTTTTGCTACTTGCTAGGCTCTGCTGATGGGGCTGAGGACGCAGTGGGGGGCCAAAGGGACTCATGTGACTCTGGGACTGCTTTCAGGCCTCAATTCTCTCCTCTGTTAAATGGTACCCTACTGCTGCTTGTCTCTAAGCAGAAATGAGCCAACCATGGCTATGGCCCCTCCTGCCTAGTTCTGCAAATCATTGCACCACTGGTCACTTGGACCAGCCTGCTGCTGACCTCGGCTCTTCCGGCTGACCTCATTGTGTCTTTGCTACATTGTCCCCATTTCACACACCAGTAAATGAACTTGCTCACTGCCATTCAGAAAGAAGCAAAACCTGGCTCTGAACGCATAATCCGTTTGAATTTGTGTTTTCCCCAGTACTGTGCATGAAAGGAGAATTTTCTAATGGAAGAAACCACCGGTGAAAGCCACCAAGAAACAGCTGGACATTTATTAGGGCTGGGGATTGTGGAGGGGTTCAGGTGTCACGAAGCCTGGCCCATGATGAGTGTTAATAAGCGTCTGTTGATAGAATGAGTTATGCGCGTGACCTCAAGTAAACTGCAGACCCTGAGAGCAGGAAGCCCGCATCCACCCATTTCCTGTTGCACAGATTCACAGGTCCTGATCACCTCAGCCCCAGGATTTACCGAGGCTCCTTATATTTAGAGAACTTCGTATGCCCTGTGATCTAATACCATACCGCAATGCATTACAAGGCAAGCCTGATAATGTTCCTCAGAGCAGTGAGGAAATGGGGGCTCCAAGAGGTCAAATGACTTGTTGAAGCCCACACAAGCAACTGAGGATGGAACAAGGTCCACTGCACTCAAAGCTCTGAGCCACCAACTCATCTGCCCCCATGATCCCTCCTTGGGGAAGACGCAGCACCTGGGGTCTTTGTTGGCCCACAAGAAAGTGACTTTTGAGAAAGTGACTTTTACCTGTCCTCAGAACGTAGACAGCAAGCCCGTTCCTGCTTAAGCAACAGGTAATGGAAGCAAAACTCATTGAGCATAGATTGGCCGCAGCTGGCTGCAGTGAGGTCCTGGTGAGATGCAGAATTTGGGAAGTCTGTCTTGGCCAGAGTAGAAGGAGGGCTACACATGGCTGAGAGATTCCCCAGTGGTCCATTCCTTCTGGGGCTGGGGCTCTGGCCCTGTCCTGAGCCCTTGGGACTGCCCCCCACCCCGGGAGCTCTGGTTTTCACTGGGGCCCAGCTCTGCCTTAGCCCTGTCCCTTCTCCAGACAACCAGGACTGCCAGTCCCAAGCACCATGGACTGGGGAGCCTACCCCTTGGGCCAATGGAGAGACTGATCTTGGCCAGTACCTTGCACAGAGACATTGCTATTCTCAAGAGGGAGGAAGGGAAAAATGATACAGCAGGGGGAACAGTGTCTAGGGAAGGAAAGAGAAAGAAACAAAAAAAATGCATCGGTCCTTCCAAATTAG